CTGTATCGAAGCGCAAGGGGGTTGGTTGGTTGGTTGCAGTGATGAACCCCTATCTATCGGATGGGTGGATACTTGAAGGATATACGATACCTCCCCGTTGGGGAGGGGAGACTGGCTCATACCGGGGGAGTAATCCAGCATAAGCGGTACAACACCGAAGAGGGAAGGGGACAGGGCCAGAGGTTTGAACTTCAAGGCTAGTTGATTTCATACGTCGATGTTGATGTTTACTTAAGATGTGTGTCTTGTATGTGACTATGGGACTACATCCGGAACACCCCAAACCGCGTCCGCACATCGGCATCGACCTTGCCCCCGACGGCGGCCGCCAGCCCCAACCCCAGGAACTGGCGGGTCTGCGCGGGCGGAATCACCCCGTCGTCCCAGAGGCGCGCCGACGAGAACACCGCCTCGGATTCGCGGTCGATGCGGGCCTTCAGGTCCGGGTCGGCGGTGCGGCCCACGGCCTCCATCACCGCGGACAGTTGCTCGGAGCCCATGACCCCGATCTTGGCATTGGGCCACATGAACAGGAATCTTGGGGAGTAGGCGCGGCCGCTGGGGGATTGTCAATCAGTCTTAGTTTTATGTTACCAAAAAGGGGGGGGGGGGGAGGGGAACTCACCACATGCCGTAGTTCCCGGCGCCGGCACTGGAGCCAAACACCACGGTGAACTTGGGCACGTCGGCACACGCGACGGCCGTCACCAGTTTGGCGCCGTTCTTCGCGATCCCGCCTTTCTCGGCGTCGGCGCCGACCATGAAGCCCGAGATGTTCTGCAGGAAGACCAGGGGGATGCCGCGCTGGGCGCAGAGCTCGATGAAGTGCGCCCCCTTCAGGGAGGACTCGGAGAAGAGGATGCCGTTGTTGGCGACGATGCCCACCTGGTGGCCGTAGATGCGCGCGAAGCCCGTCACGAGTGTGGTGCCGTAGTCGCGCTTGAACTCGGCGAACTCGCTGCCGTCGACGATGCGGGCGATGACCTCGTGGGCGGGGATCTGGCGGCGGAGGTTGGTGCCCACGATGCCGTTGAGCTCGCTGGGGTCGTAGAGGGGTTCTTTGATGGGTGTTGTTGTTGTTGTCGTCGTCGCTGCTGCTGTGTTGGATGTGGAGGGTAGGTTCGTTTGCGGATAGTTCAGGTTAGAGACGGACCGTCGCGCCAGAACGATGGCGTGGGCGTCGTCGACGGCGAGGTAGTCCGTGACCCCTGAGATCGTGCTGTGGAGGTGCCCGCCGCCCAGATCCTCGGCGGAGACGACCTCGCCCGTCGCGGCCTTGACCAGCGGTGGGCCAGCCAGGAAGATAGTGCCCTGATTCTCGACGATGATCGTCTCGTCGCTCATGGCGGGCACGTAGGCGCCGCCGGCCGTGCAGGGGCCCATGACCACGGCGATCTGCGGGATCCCCAGCGAGCTCATCCGGGCCTGGTTGAAGAAAATGCGGCCGAAGTGGTCGCGGTCCGGGAAGACGTCCGCCTGGTGCGGCAGGTTGGCACCGCCCGAGTCGACCAGGTAGATGCACGGCAGTTTGTTCTCCTGCGCGATGGCCTGCGCCCGGAGATGCTTCTTCACGGTAATAGGGTAGTAGGTGCCGCCCTTGACCGTGCTGTCGTTGGCGACAATCATGCAGTTCACCCCCTCCACCGTTCCGATGCCCGTGATGATTCCCCCGGCGGGCACATCCTCTCCATAGACCTCGTGGCCGGCGAGCGGCGAGAGCTCGAGGAACGACGTGCCCGGGTCAATGAGGGCGCTGACCCGGTCCCGAGGAAGCATCTTGCCTCTGGCCAGGTGTTTGTCCTTGGCCTTTTCAGGACCGCCTTGCGAGATTGTGCCGTGGAGACTGGCCATCTGATTCAGGAGTTCTTGCATCTGTTGGGCGTTTTCCTGGAATTCGGACGATGTAGTATCGACGGCGGTGGGGAGGACGGATATGGCAGATGCATGATGGGGGTGTGTGTAGTTGGCAATTGATCTTGAGAGTATTCGAGGGGAGGTTATGGTTGTGGATGGACGCAGTGCAAATCGTCGATATGGAAGGGCGACAGTGTTGGGTCTCAGGCTCCGCAGAAGCGGAGACGGAGCGCGCATTGCGGGGAGGGAGTGGGCAAAAGCTGGGGAAGACGAAGGGTGCGGATGCCGGGGATCAAGGAACGCCAACTGGTAGACGACTACTAGACCGCACTATTGCATGATTCTGTGCAAGAACCTGTGCAAGAACCAGATGATGAATAGCAGATACTGTGTGCTCTTTATCTCTGTGGAGTGGAGAAACCGAAGGAGGAAGGGGAGGAGAAAAGAGGAGTCGGCGAAAGGAAGGGGAGGAGAGGAGGAGCAGGTGACATGCGGAGAAGCATAGCGCTGTTTGCCGTGTTTAGCCGCCGTGACATCGACACGCCGCTCTCCCCTCTCTATTCATTCTCCCTTGAGGGTATAAATCATCAAGCCTGTTACCTCTCAACGAGGATCTATTCCATAAATAACCACCGAGACACAATTGATCTTACCATGGCTGCCCTTCCCCGATTCCCCAGTCTTCTCCGGTCTTCCTGTCCCCGGACTCTAACCAGACGAATCCATCATCCCCTCATCCAGCCCCCCGCACTACGCACCCTAGCAACCAAGCACCCGAAGGACTTCGTTCCTCCAACGGAAGACGACTTGCTCGAGCTACGAGAACGAGTCCAAGAGTTCACCCGTAAGTAGGCCCGGTACCATAGCTGGAGGACAAGGCACACCTTTACTAACCATCAATCGCGGAATCAAGGGCGCGAGATTCCCGAGGAGCTGGCCGCGCGGACCGACGCCCAGAATGAGTTCCCGGCGGAGATGTGGAAGAAGTTTGGCGATGCCGGGTATGGCCGTCGTCTCTAACTTATGCATCGTCCATTGCAGAAGCGTCGTTGCTGACTCGCTCCATCTATGAACCAGATTCTTGGGCATCACCGCGAACGAGGAGTATGGCGGTCTCGGGATGGGCTACCAGGCCCACTGCATAGTCATGGAGGAGATCAGTCGTGCCTCTGGTATGCCCAACTTTCTTTCCCTTTGTCTCTCCATCTGGCTGGGCGGGAAACGCAGTGATTCTGACCCATGGATGTACGAGCAGGAAGCATCGCTCTCTCATACGCCGCCCATTCCCAACTCTGCGTCAACCAACTCTCCTTGAACGGGAACGCCGACCAGAAAGAACGATTCCTCCCCGGGCTTCTCTCGGGAGATAAAGTCGGTGCGCTAGCCATGTCGGAGCACTCGGCCGGGTCCGATGTCGTGAGTATGAAGACAACGGCGAAGGCCGTAGACGGGGGCTGGGTGTTGAACGGAACGAAGATGTGGATTACGAACGTGAGAGATCCTCGCTCGAACCGGGCTGGCCGCTCTAAGTACACGCTGACCGAATGCGCAGGGCCCAGATGCAGACTACGTGGTGGTCTATGCCAAAACGGAGCCGGAGAACGGGTCCAAGGGTATCACCGCGTTTGTGGTCGAGAAGGAGTTTCAGGGCTTCTCCTGCGCCCGGAAGCTTGACAAACTGGGCATGCGTGGCTCGAACACTGGAGAGCTTGTCTTTGAAGATGTCTTCGTCCCGACGAAGAATGTTCTCGGCGAGGTGAATCGTGGCGTGAAGGTGTTGATGGAGGGGTTGGATCTGGAGCGCCTGGTGCTCAGTGCGGGTCCTCTGGGGTAGGTTTTGTCTGTCCGGCATTGACTTGACTGGCTGTGAAGGGGGACGAGAAGACTGAGTATGTCCCGGAGCTAACGAATTTACAGAATCATGCAGGCTGCGCTGGATCTCGTGCTGCCCTATACGCACGTCCGCAAACAGTTTGGGACGCCGATCGCTCACAATCAGCTGATCCAAGGCAAGCTCGCCGACATGCACACCAAACTGGCGGCATCGCGGGCCTACACCTACGCGACTGCCCGGCAGATCGATAACTCGGCTGGTTCTCCGTCCGGAGCCATAATCCGCACCCAGGACTGCGCCGGGGCGATCCTCTATGCTGCGGAACGAGCGACAGAATGCGCGCTCGATGCCATCCAGCTCATGGGAGGCAACGGATACATCAACGAGATTCCGGCGGGGAGGCTGCTACGAGATGCGAAGTTGTACGAGATCGGGGCGGGAACGAGCGAGATTCGGCGGATGGTGATAGGACGGGCATTCAACAAGGAGTACGCATAGAACCAGAGATTAATTAGTATGTCGGGTTCAACAAATCTGTATAAACTGCACAAATATCAAGAAAGTCATAACGTCATAACGCTCATTCGCGATGGATTGCGTTCCGTTATTTATTCCTCGCTGATCTGCGCACAGGGGCCGACGGTGCAGCAGCAGCAGCAGCAGCAGGTACGGGGACGGGGACATCTTTACTGCTGTTAGCCTTTCCGGCTTTCGTGGAGGACGCGACCCTCTTGGCCCGGGTCTTTGCTGCAGTTTGCGGGATATCGTCGACCGCATCATCGGCCTTGCGCTTCCTGGACCGGGGCGCTGTCGGTTTCGCGACCGACTCATCGAGCGAGGACCCATCCGCCGTCTCCTCATTTACCACCACCCCGTTGGTGGCGGCGGCAGCTTCAGCTTTAGGATCCCCTCCTTCGAAAGAACCTCCATCCCCAACCTCACCACCATTGATGACCAAGCCCGCCGCGACAAACCCCTCCCCATTAACCACACCACCCTTACCCACACCTTTCCCTGTATCATCCCCAACCTCCTCCATCGTAGCAGCAACAACACCATCCACCTCCCGACTCTCCGCATCCCCCCTCCCCTCCGCCCCCGCACTACTACCCCTCAAACACAACCCCTGCTGTTGCTGCTGCTGCTGCTGAATCGGCGCAGGCTTCCTCCCAGCCCCGGCCCCCGCCACCACGCCCACGGCGGCGGTCATCCTAGGATTGGCACTCCGAAACACCTCGCGCCAATTCTTCAGCAGCGCCACCTTCTCCCCCTCGCCGGGTTCATGCAACGCGACCACCGATTGTTGTTCCTTCTCCTGATGCGGAGATTTCCAGACCACACTCTGGAACGCGCCGAGATCGAAGAACGGGGTTCTTTTGGCAGCCGGTTTTGGTTTACGTGGGTGTTTGGTCACAGCAGCAGCGCGGGGAGGGTGGCTGTGCTGGCCGTGCTGCTGCTGGTCATGATGGCCGCCGTCGCCGCCGCCGGCAGGTAACAGGCCCAAGGCGCGGGCGCGGCGCACGGCGGTCGGATCCTCGTCGTAGTAGTCATCCGACAGATCGTCCCAGTCGGAGAAGTAGTCTTCGACTTCGAGGGCGGGGTGGTCGTAGAAGATAGCGTCGTTGGTGGAGGTTGCTGCTAGGTCGTCCTTTTTTTTTGTGGCAGGTATTGTCAGTGAGGGGGACGGAATTGAGAGTGTGTTAAGAGGAGGTTGATTGGGGTGTAAGATGCGATTCTGGGTCAATGTCTCAGGCAAGTTAGGTGGGTTTGACAGTACGTACAGCAATGGTGGGATCGGGTTCCTCCACCCAGAAGATATCCTCGTCGTATTCGTCGTAATAGTCTTCGTCGTCGGACATTGTCTCGGTCTCCTTTTTCTTTTGGGAATGTGTTTTAAAGGTATAGGTGTCGTGTGTAGGTTGGAAGTGAGGGATGATGTTGTGTAATCGGAGGTTTTTTTTTTGCAGCCGCAAAGGTGTCAGTGGTGGTGAATTGAAAGTGAGGGTGATAAAAGAAGGAAAAGTTGCGCGTCAGATTTTCAGTACTTGGTGTTGGTTGGTTTGTTCTCGTGTTGTGTATATACTGATCAAGTAAAAAAAAAAATGAATGGGATAAACAGAGATATGAACCAAAGAGAAAGAGCGCGTGCAGAGACAACAAAGGAGGCTAGTTAGCGACCGAAGTGTCGATCGCGAATGGAGAGAGAGGGAGAGGGAAGGCAGGCAGGCAGACAGACACTGACGACTGACGACTGACGACTGACGGCTGACTCTGATGCAATGGCTGCTGACCCGGTTTCGTTTCTTTCAGTCTTCGAAAAAAACCCGGCCGGTGGAGTCCACGGTCACGTGCAGCGGGCTTCCCCGCAGCCGTCGCTTTGCGTCGGCCCAAGGGGGTCTCCGCTCCAACAAGCTGGGGGGAGAGGTTGCATCTACAAGAACCGGGGGTGCTGCTCGCCGGTGCTCAACTTACCGATGTGATTGATTCCAGATCCGGAATCTTGTTCTTACATTACAGCAAGAATATGCGACTATCTACGAGCATCCTGGAGCTTTGTTGACTGATCCCCTGCGAACCTCTATTCTGGTCATTCGTGATGACCCTCTCAGCGCTTCTCCGCACTACATCCCGCCTAGGGCCGACGGCGGTTCGTAGAGCCAGAAGAGCAGCTTCCACCCTCTCCGCCGATGCGGCTACCACCCAAAAGTCCTTGGATTCGATCCTGATCGCGAATCGAGGAGAGATTGCACTGTGTGTGCTTTTCCGTTGCTGATCTAAGCTTTGCGGTGACTGACCTGACCACCAAATAGACGAGTCGGACGCACGGCCGCCCAGCATGGTATCCGGGTGACGACGCTATACACAGATCCGGACAGCAAAGCTCAACATGCCTTGAGCTCGCCCTTCGCCTATAACCTCGGGTCGGTTTCGGCTTACCTGGACGGGGACCGGATTATCGAGATTGCGAAGAGGGAGGGCTGTCAAGGGATACACCCGGGATATGGTTTTGTGAGTGACTGCCTGGTACTGGGCCCATGTGCACCTGAAAGCTCATAGCATCTAGTTGAGTGAGAACTCTGCTTTTGCAAGGAAATGCACAGAAGCTGGGCTGGTCTTCATTGGTCCGCCATGGAAAGCGATCGAGGATATGGGTGATAAGAGGTAGGCTGACTGATGCACTTCCACCTTACTACAGAACTGACTCTAAGCAGCCAGTCCAAAAATATCATGACCGCTGCGGGTGTCCCGTGCGTGCCCGGCTACCATGGTGAAAACCAAGACGCCGAATTCCTCGAGGCAGAGGCCGACAGAATCAAGTACCCCGTTCTGATCAAAGCAGTCAAAGGCGGAGGCGGCAAGGGCATGCGCATCGCACACTCCAAAGCCGATTTCCAGGCCCAGCTCCAGTCCGCCAAGTCGGAGGCCATGAGCTCCTTCGGGGATGATCACGTTCTCGTGGAGAAGTACATCACCACACCGCGTCACATCGAAGTTCAAGTCTTCGCCGACAAGCATGGAAACTGCGTGGCCCTGGGAGAGCGCGACTGCAGCATCCAGCGGCGACACCAGAAGATCCTGGAAGAGTCCCCTGCTCCCCATCTCCCGGATGCGACCAGGAAAGACATCTGGGCGAAGGCTAGATCAGCCGCACTGGCGGTGGGCTATGAGGGCGCGGGCACGGTCGAGTTCATATTTGACAACGACAGCGGCGAGTTCTTCTTCATGGAGATGAACACCAGACTGCAGGTTGAACACCCTGTCACGGAGATGGTGACCGGCCAGGACCTGGTGCATTGGCAGATCAAGGTCGCCGAAGGCGCTCCATTGCCATTGACCCAGGACGAGGTGGAGGCTTACATGGCTACCAGTGGGCACGCGATCGAAGCTCGCATCTACGCCGAGAACCCCGATCAGGGCTTCATCCCAGACTCTGGCACCCTCCTGCACGTCCGCACGCCCGCCCCGACCGAGGATGTCCGCATCGACGCAGGCTTTGTCGCAGGCGACGAAGTATCCGCCCACTACGACCCGATGATCGCTAAGCTCATCGTGCGAGGCGCCACACGAGAGGAAGCCATTCGCAAACTCGCCGCGGCGCTGGAAGAGTACGAGATCGCGGGGCCGATCACCAACATCGAATTCTTGAAGACCATCTGCCGCAGCTCTGATTTTATCTCTGGGGACGTGGAGACTGGATACATCGATAAGCACCGCGCGGAATTGTTTCCGGCGAAGACCATTGATCCTGAGGTGCTGGCCCAGGTGGCACTGGCCTGTCTGCAACGGGATGCCAGCCTTGCGTCTCGCGTGCAGGCTAGCTTCGAGGGCTCAGGGATTGGCTTTAGCCCCGGCTACCAGGCGCATCAGATATCCTTTGCAGACCTGACACCGGGCGCTAAGGATGACATGCGACACGAGGTCCGCATCCAGCAAACCGGCGACAATACATACAACGTCACCGTACAAGGCGTGGTGTTCGAACAGGTCGTCAGCCACGACAACTCGAACTCTAACATCATCACCTCCTTCTTCCCCCACACCCGCCTCGACACCACGGTCATTCGCGACGCGGACACAATCATTGCCTTCCAGAAGGGCACGCAATACCGCCTGACCATCCCACCGGCCAAATGGATGGAGAAAGCATTGGGCATGAAGGACGTCAAGAACAGCGTTCTCGCACCGATGCCATGCAAAGTGCTGCGCGTGGAGGTGGCCGCCGGCGACACGGTCGAAAAGGATCAGCCGCTTGTGGTGATCGAGAGCATGAAGATGGAGACGGTCATCCGCAGCCCACATAAGGGTGTCATTGCCAAAGTGGTCCATCAGAAAGGAGTAAGTCAGAGCTTTGCTATCTATATCCCTGCCCGATTACTGTTTCGTCTTGCCATCTCGCCTGCTCTGGGCGATCTTCCAGGGGTTTGGACAGGATGAGAATCTCGAACCTTCTAGCCGGATTGTTCTCGATTTACTAGACTGGAATTGTCTGGGGCTTGTCCTCGTCCATTTCTCTACGTTGGTGGGGTTGTGTGACCGTGCTCTCCGGATGACTACACCGTCGCCGGAGCTCTATTCCCCACTCGCAACCTTTTTCATTGTTTTGTTTCGCTTTGCCAGGGAACACAGCTGCAGTCAGATGACTAACAGGTACCTTGCAGGATCAATGCAAAAGCGGGACACCGCTGGTCGAGTTCGCAGAGGAGAGCGGCGGTGAGTGAAGCAGAGAAATATGGATCTCGAGCGACAGTTTTGCGCCTACGGAGTAGAAAATGTAGACATGACCCAGGTCAACCGGTGAGGGTCGATGTATGTGACAACTGAGCGGTCTCGCGGGCAATTTCTGTCGTGTATTCGGTGTTTATTTTGGAGCGTCATTCAACTTATAAATGCAATCCCTTGTTCTTGGTAAGCTCAACTTGAAGCACCAGCTCTCCGTAATTTGGGGGTGTTGCAGCACAAGGCGACGTTGGTGGGAGCGGAGGATGGACGGAGCCTAAACTTATTCCTGAAACTTCGATGTAGACCGCTTGCGATATGTCTGAATTAGGAGCAGGAGCCGCTGGTAGTATACTCTCAACTTTGATGGAGGTACTTTAACCGTAGAGGGGGAAATGACAGATCATCTGGTCTCATACGCACTGTTAATCTCTCACTGACAACCCGTAAACGCGAAGAGCGACACCGCCGCTGCGGAGTCCTGCCCAGCACAAAGCAGTGCAGTACACCACGCGTCCCACAGCAGAGCTCATGCATACGGCCTCCCCTTAAGCAGGCGCCGGGAGCAGCCCCGCATTTGTCGCTGTCATACCGACAAAGAAGAGAGAAGAGAGCGTTGGGTACGGGATACGGGATAGATACTGGAAATCCCCCTTCGAAACTGTTTTGATTGGGAAATGGGATCCATACGAATGGGGCTCGCCGCTCGTGGCTTGTGCCCAACCGACCGACCCCATTCCGATCCCCACACCCCGATCAGCGCGGGATACCCACCCAGGAAATTAGAGGGTCCCGCCATTCACTGTATAAGACCCTTTACAAATACCTGGTGCAAAGGAGGGATGGGGGTTGATAAAAGTACGGACCTCGTTGACAGGTTGTCATCGACGGTGGATCGATATTTCTGGTGATTGAATGGGGTAATCAAGCCAGTGGCAAATGTGTCAGGATGGATGCATGGATGGATGGACGTGCAGCTTGCCGCTGATAATCACAGTATGTACTCCGTACTAACGGTACTATACTGTACGTGCGGGTTGCGACGACAGCTGCCAGCTGCAGTACAGTGTGTACAGTACGGAGTAGATTCATGGGCTCGTTGGGGGGAGGTAGGTGGCGCTCCGCAGGGGTGGGGGGTTTACATCAATCTGGCAACTCCGCTGTTGGCGTAGCCTACTTGACGTTCTGCAACCTGGGGTAGTCTAAGACATGAGATGACGGTGGCGGCCGTATCTACCGGGTCCACTGGGTCGAGGCTATGGGTAAGTTGACAAGGACCGAGAAGGGGCTGGGCGTGGCTGGAAGACGTTGTTGGAGCGGATATAAATATAGATCAGATAGAGATAGCCCGGTCTGTGAGACCCTGGCTGGGTCATGTGGCCAGGTGAATGAAGAATGAACCGCTGAAGGAGGGGAGGGGGGAGCTAAGGAACCGAGCTTGGTCTGGATTTCTGAGCAGTCGTCGCTTGGCGCGTTTTAATTCATCGACAGGATAGATCGGAGACCTTGGTGATGATTGGATGCCCCCGGCAGTCGGTCGGTTGATGTCGATGATATGAGTTTCTTCCAAGTTGTCTGTCACCGCTCCCAGAACAGCTCTCAATCATCCGTCATGGCTCTGTCACAAGTCAGACACGAAGAAGGACTAGGTTTCTTCCGGGGGATTCCATACTTCTGACTAGTCGAAGCCGACAGGGGATCGTCCAGAAGGCCGGTCTGAGGCCACTCTGTGGTCAAGTCACGCGGAGGCGAAGAGCACAATCCTGGTCCGATCGCTGCATGGCGGTTGAGGCCTGGCCCAGCGATGCCTCATCACCGCCTGACATCACCTGCGATTGGGAGTTGTGAAAAAAAAAGAAATATTCCAGAAGAATTGTAGCGGCGAGAAGGTGGTAAACGGGGGGTTGTGGAGGAAAAACAACCCAACCAGTCGGCTGGGTCACACCGCAACAGCCGCAATAACAACAACAACCGCCGCGGCGGAGTATAGTATACGTATACTCATTCCCCGGCTCCTCAGCTTTATCTATCGACTCCCTTTGGAATAACTTAATGGAGGGCTGCTTTCTTCTTTGGGGCAATGCCGGTTCCTTTTTCAGCCCAGCCCTTGAATTCGTTTTTGACATTTTGAATTATCATTCGCTCCGACCCTGACCTGACCTCTCCTGGTTTTGCCTTCGATGGATTCATTGCCTCCATGTTTGTTTGCCTTTTAGGCTCTGCATCTCCTCGCCCTTGATCAGACCCTTTCTTTCTCCCTCCACTGTGCTCAGTATCTCCCTACTTGTAAGTGTCCCTAGATACTTATACTAATACACGCCAATCCCTCTGTCGTCCTACCGTTTGACCTACTCATCCCCCAACAACCTTCACTGACCGCATCGATATAGCGTCTCATCACTCCCCTCACAATGTTCAGACCCGCTGTCGTCCGGCAAGCCGCAAAGGCACTCAGCCAATCCCCGCGTCCAACCCCAACCACCGCATTCCTCCGCCCCCTCACCTCCACAGCTCCGCTCCGCAAGGACGCCCGCAAGAGCACGCAAGACCCCCTCCTGGCGGCCACCACCACGGCACCGGGGGGCGCGCTGGAGGCGGAAGGCCAGTACGCGCGGACGGACGAGAAGGTCAAGATCGAATACCCGGACGACGAACACATGCCCCGCTCGCCGGTGGTGCAGGGCCGCGGCGGGATGCACTTCAAGCGAACGCTGGCCCACTTCTCGCTGGAGAACAAGGTGACGCTGGTGACGGGGGGTGTGCGCGGGCTGGGGCTGGTCATGGCGCAGGCGATTGTCGCGTCGGGGTCGGATCTCGCCATTGTCGATCTGAACAGTAGGTCTTGTCCCCGGTTGGGTTGGGCATCGATCAGGGACTGACGGAGTCAATCACAGAGCAGGAGGCCGAAGAACAAGCGAAGAAGCTGGTGGAACAGTTCCAGAAGGAGAACCCAGGCCTCGAAGCGGACCAGTACGTCACAATTGCTCCCCGACCTTGGACGCGGTGGGTCTCACGCTGATTGAAAATCCCGCAGAATGCCCAACGTGACGGCGCACTACTCGGACGTCTCGGACCCGGAGTCCGTGAGCAGCGCCATCGCCGAGGTGATCGCGCAGCACGGCCAGATCGACCACCTAGTGACCTCGGCGGGGTTCACGGAGAACTTCGACGCGATCTCGTACCCGCACGACCGCATGCAGAAGCTGTGGGGCGTCAACGTCGACGGCACCTACCTGTTCGCGACGGGGGTCGCCAAGCACTTGATGGAGCGGCAGGTCGCGGGGAGCATGGTGCTGATCGGCAGCATGTCCGGGGCGATCGTGAACGTGCCCCAGCCCCAGGCGCCCTACAACGCCGCCAAGGCCGCCGTCCGCCACCTCGCCGCCTCCCTCGCCGTCGAATGGGCCGGCCACGACATCCGCGTCAACTGCATCAGCCCGGGGTATATGCTGACGGCCCTGTAAGCTTCCCGCCCCCAGCTACAGTTGTTTGAGCTTCAGCCTGCTTGCTAACAACACCCTCCAAACAAGCACGCGCAAGATCCTCGACGAGAACCCCGACCTCCGCGACAAGTGGATCTCCTTGATCCCCGTCGGCAAGATGGGCACCCCCGAGGACCTGATGGGCGCCGTCACTTTCCTCCTCAGTGACGCTTCCCGGTACATCACCGGCGCCGACCTGCGGGTCGACGGGGGCTACACCTTGACCTAGCTTCAACCCCTCACACCCGATCATTGATGTTGATATGTACCGGTACAATGCTAATCAAAAATGATGTACTTACTTGCGTGGGAGATCAAAGCGGCGTGATTGAGCTGTTAGCGTATCTCCATTCACCCAATGTAATCGTTTCCCGAACCCCTCTCCTTTTCTTGTTTGGCTCAGGGGATTGTATGCTTCTCTTCTTGATAACGAAGCAGGGCGGGGTCAGTGCCCACAAAAACCCCCGTTGAGCTGCATCATTGCATCATGGCGTGGTGTGCAATCATTCCACACACAAGTGAACTCATTGCTGCGATGAACGCAGCATTCGCGAGGAGGCGGCGAAAAGTCCACGCCAAGGTACGGAGTAGTATGATGTAATTGGCCATTCTGCAGGGGGGTGATGTATGTACGTATGTACTGCGCACTGTACATTGCTCCATCTGCGAATATACTTGCAAGGTGTCGATACCACTCGGAGTCGGATTGGGGTCTCAAAGGAAGTACATACGTATATGTACAGTATAGTCTACTGTACTTATAGGGTGAGCAGGGATAGGAAGATCAACAGTGGCAGCGGCGGCGGCGGCGGCGATATTGCGGGGTAAATTAGAGGACAGGGCGAGGGAGCCTTGAGGTGTACTGTACCGCCGGGCAGTGCTTTTATGTATCTCGAAAAGTTGTTTGTTCGTTGGTGATCAGTGACCAATGCTGGACTGAAGTAGGTACAGTACTAGGGTAGTCTTTGGAAGATCCCAGTTGCACCATATAGCTTACACGGCAGTAGGTCCAAAAGGACGAAGTCACAAGACCTCAAGTAGAAGGGTAGCACTCATCCTACAACCAACACAAGTTACTTGGTTTTCATGCGCACAGGAGAAGGAACAGCTCTCAGAAACGCAATCTATCCATCCAGACTCTAGACCATACATTCATACATCATTTTCACCATGAGTTTGAACTCACTCTATGTTCTATGCTGCAGACGACAGCGCCTACTCCACCTGTTCCACAGTCGCCTTCTCCATGAACTGCTCGACGACCCGATCGCCCACGGGCCTGCGCTTGGACATGGCGACGGCCTCGAAGATGGACCGCGAGTCGCGGAAGATCTCGTCCACCTCCTCGAGCGACCGGTTCTTGGTCTCGGGGTAGAAGAAGTAGATGGCGGGGGGGATGACGCCCGCGATGACGGTGTAGACGATGTAGTAGCGGTAGCCGATGTCGGTGACGGCGACGGGGGTGATCATTGCCACAACGAACATCCTACACGGGGTTAGACTCTACTATGTAGATGACAGACTGGGGCAAGCAAGGCACATACCATAGCCACTGATTGGCGATGGCGAACGACTGCATCGCCACGCGCAACCGCGCAGGGGCCACCTCGGCCGGGTAGAGGAAGTTGGCGCCCAGGAAGCCGACGGGCAGGAAGAGGTTGTACAAAAAGATAAAAAACGCGGAGATGATGGAGGCGGTGTGGTTGTCCTGGAAGGAGTTGGAGACGGCCAGGGCCAGCATGCACAGCGACATGCCGCCGCCGCTGACCATGAAGGCGGTGCGGCGGCCCATGCGGTCGATGATGGCGAACCCGACGAAGCAGCACAAGAACTTCCAGGTCAGGGCGCACGCGGCCAGGATCTTGGCCAGGCTGGCGCCCAGCCCCAGGTCGGTCTCGAAGATCGTCGGGATGTACACCGAGATGAGCGTGCCGCCGCTCATCTGCTGGAAGAACTGCAGCATGATGCACAGGCAGAAGCGGTAGAAGAGCTTCTCCTCGCCCATCGTGAAGATGTCGCGCAGCCGCAGGTTGCCGTTGGACGTCTCCTCGAGGGAGACCTCGAAGGCGCGCAGCTCGGCGACCACCTCGAGGGACTCGAGCGCCTGGCCGCGCAGGGCGGCCAGCGTGCGCTGCGCCAGGTCGGGCCGGTTCTTCATGACCAGCCACCGGGGGGACTCGGGCAGGAAGAAGATGCTGCCCATGACGATGAAGGAGAAGATGGACGGGATGGCCAGCGAGACGCGCCAGGCCGCCGATGACGTTTGCATGTGGTAGAAGCCGAAGTTGACCCACTGCGTCAGCGCAAACCCCAGCGCGATGAACATGCCCGTCAGCACCACGTTGCGTCCACGCTGCGCCGCAGGCGAGCATTCCGACTGCCAGACCGGCACGGTCGCGCTCAGCATGCCCACGCCCACACCGAGGATCACTCGGCCCACGACAAATTGCGACAGCGCAAACGCCGTGCACTCCAGGGCCTGCCCGATCAGGGCCACCAGCGCTCCCACGAAGATCGTTCGCCGGCGACCGAGGATGTCCCCCACTGCCGTACAGGAAAGAGCCCCGATGAGAGCCCCGATTGTGTAGGAGGCCACGACTGCGCCTTGCACGGTGGCATTGTGATTTTCTTGAGCCCCGGTCGTGTTTACGGTGTCGATTTCGGGGAACTGTCGGATCCAGGAGGTGAAATCATCCAGACCACCTACACCAGATTGATTGTATCCAAACAGGACGAAGGAAGGTAGCGAGACCAAGAAAATTTGGGCATAGCGGAGGGCTGATCCCTGCATCTTGACTCGGATTGGCTCTGACTTCGGCTTTTGGCTGTGTCAAGAGCAAGGCAGGAGCTATGCAGTGATAAGAAAAGAATTTAGGAAGAGGATGGAGCGAGGGATTTAAGTACGTGGGAAGAACGCAAGAACGACTACCCCCTGAGGCAGCCTCCGGATACACGCAGCTGGCTGTTATCTTGCTTATGGGCTGATCCCCGCAAGTATCATCCCGCCCAGATTCAGACACTTCCCACCCCACGTCTGTCGGTACTTCGTCGGCTGACTAGGGTAGTAGTCATGGCTGACTTGCTTCCTGCACCTCGGATTGGGTTTCGCTGAAACGGCAACGCGGAACACAAATGTCCGGATTTTGAGAGCTGAGCCGTCATTTGGCTCGAGAGTGGGTTTGGGTGGGATGGGGGGAAGCAGAGTCAAGATACGTGCGCCCCCCCCCCCAACGAGCAGTCGGCAAAGTGGCCAAACCGGCGAGACTCCGGTGAGCAGAGAGGTCGAAGCGTCGGCTTCCTTTCAGTCATTGCCTGGCTGATTCGACATCTCCAGTTGTTTGTTCTCCGCAAAGAATGCACCCCAGAGTGGGGGAAGACCCAGAATTTTTCCGACGGGGAGCGCGGAGGTTGACCGAGGCCGGTATCCACTTCGCCATGGTCAGTTTTTGTCTGACTGTCTGACGGGGGACTGCAACATCTTGCAATGATCATAGGACGGTTGCGTTGGCATCCACATCATCCAGGGATCCGTCGTGGCCGTGGTCGACTAAAGCTGTGAGCTATGAATCCATGATGAACTCGGCCGACAATCCTTAGGACAAGTCGGAGATCTGGTCTCGAATCGGGCCAGGTCAGCCTTGCAATCCGGCATCAGTTGAATGGGCAGTACCCGGGCAGCTGCTTAGATTTCCTGCATTGACCCGGTGGTGATTGGACTTGCTGGGCTTGCTGGTTCCGAGTCTAACCACAGGGAGAAGGACGGCCCGAAAGGGAAAGCTTGCCAGGTTGCCAAGAGTGCTTAGCCAGGTTATGTCATCCGAGGTCCACGGTGTAATCAAGTACTTGAACAGTTGGTGAGCTCCTTTCGCATTCACCCTCATCTGAGTCGAAGTCGTCGCTCAACTCATGGAAAGATCATACCATCGGCCAACTGGGGGCCACCCGCCCTTCCAGGTTGTCACTAGAGCGGCATCCAAAGCCCCAACGACTCATCGACCTGTTCAAAATGCGTTATTGTTGTGCTGTCTGACAGCCCTTGCGTGATAAATTCATCCTGGCATGGCAGATAGGTCGAGTCCAAGGCGGCGTGGAAAAATTGAAGATAAGGGCGATGAATTTTCGAGATAGAGCAATTCAAAGCAGGTACTCAGCAAGTCTCTGATCAAGCCAGATTGCTGACTGCCTGATGTCTCGATATGTAGAAAGAGATCCCAGCCTTGAAACATATATACGGTCTTGTGGTCGCTGAACACCCTCAAAAGCGCTGTAGTAGTGAGGCAGGCATTGATGCGCGGAAGCATTGTTCACTGTTTGCCATGATTTTCGCACCATCAGCTCAGGTCGCGAGGCCCATGCTCGTTGTCATGTCTTGGCCTGAGGGGGAGGGGGCGGGCAAAAGGTTCAGCCGGGATGAAGACAAGACCACACCATCAACCTCGGCTGCATAATTGGGCTTTGCATTCATCCAGATCAGCGTATTTCCCCGGCTCCCCCAGATTACCCCACAGCTACCAAAATTCTTACCCCCCGAATGCACCCCGCGTTTTCTTTGTCGACTCCTTCCACTGTTCCTGAATCCCTGAAAGCGACCCTGGTTGTCTATCCCGTGTCGATGAACTCGTCGATACTTGTTGAAAGACGTATGGCTACTGCATGCCCGCCAAGGCAAGCACTGAACCTTCATCAGCGGCCAGCAGAGTGCCAAGAATGTGTACAAACACAGTTCTTACAAAGAATCGCCGCGAAAACCAGCCATCCCGCCCTAGCTTCTTATAGCTAACCGACAGTCCGAAAAGCTTCGACGGGAGAACCCTTTCCCTGTTCCTCTTGATCCTCAACAGACCGTTTAACCCCAAGCAATGAAGGCCACGTTCAATCTCCCGGGTCCTTGGGCGGGGTTGCGCGAGTTGAGACATAAAAGGCCGCTCACCCCTCGTCCAATCCGTGATACCTATCCATCACACATTATCGTCATGTTTTTAGATACTCTTCGCACAGCGGTGGGGCTCATCGCCTTACTGAACCTAGGCCCCGGGTCATCTGCATCCCCCATCTCTCCAGGCTCAACCCTGGGAGAAGGACTTCTTGTCCAGACCTCCAGCGGCCCAGTTCAAGGCTTCGTCAACCTCACTACCCCCGATGTCCGTCAGTTCCTGGGGGTTCCATTTGCAGAGCCTCCCGTAGGGGATCTTCGGTTCGCCAAACCCGTACCGAAGCAGCCTAATGGCACGGTCAATGCTTTTGCGCTCCCTGCCTCCTGCATGCAACAGACGAGCAACAGCACGTCAATTTACACGGCGTATGAGACCGGGTTCCTGATCAGCGGAGGGGACTCGGAAGATTGCCTCTACCTCTCGATTTGGGCTCCATCGGTGGAGAAGATCCGCTCCCAGCAGCGCCCGTTGCCGGTGCTACTCTATGTCCCTGGAGGAGGGTTCACGAGCGGAGGGCAGGCTTCCTTGTATAAGATCCCGGATAACTGGGTGCAGCGGACGCAGGCACATATCGTGGTTATCATGAAGTATTTCCCCCTTGTATGGTGGTATGATGGAGGATGCGGCTAATCCATCAAAGCTATCGTGTCAATGTCTTTGGATTCCCTAATGCTGAGGGACTGGAGAATCAGAATGCGGGACTGCTCGACCAGCGATTGGCGTACGTCACTTAACCCCTGCAATCATAATAGTCTGCGAGAAAGCTGACGTGATATAGCGTGGAGTGGGTACACGACAACATCGCCAACTTTGGCGGAGACCCTGATCGAATCACGCTCTGGGGCCAGTCCGCCGGAGGGGGCAGTGTTTCGCTCTACACCTACTCCTACCCCAATGATCCCATCGTGGCCGCCATCTCTGCCGACTCTGGTGCCCCTGGCATCGTCAGCTTTTCGGATTACACCCACAGCAACTTCACCTTCTTGGCGGGTCTTGTCGGCTGCGGTGGACTGAACAGCTCCGCCGAGCTCAGCTGCGTGCGCAGGGTGCCCGCACGGACTCTGGAGACCGCCTTGTCCACATACTCCGGCACGCCGTCCATCTCCTTCAAGCCCTCCGTAGACAACGTCACCGTTTTTGCCAACTGGACCCAACGGGCACTCGAAGGCAAGGTGGCTAAGATCGTGAGTGCTGCGTTGCCTCCTGTACCCCCCTCGTCATCTCTCCAGCTAACCCCGGCAAACCCAGCCCATGATCATCGGCAGCAACACCAACGAAGGCGCCGGCTTCGTCTCCTTCACGCCCGATGGCCCCGGCGCCGCAACGCTCTTCCAGCTTACCGAATCCATCATCGCTTGCCCCGTGGCCCAGGAGGTCAAGAACCGCAACCTGGCCAACCTCCCCACCTACCGCTACCAGTACGCCGGCAACTTCTCCAACATCTCGCCCCTGCCCTGGTTCGGCGCCTACCATAGCTCCGAGCTGCCGATGCTGTTCGGCACCCACTTCCAGTACCGGGGCCCCTCGACGCAGTTCGAGTGGGAGGTCAGCTACGCGATGGAGGCGCTATGGCTGTCCTTCGCGGAGGATCCCGCCCGGGGTCCGGCCCGGCTGGCCATCGAGGGGGCGGCGCTGAACCCGAATAATCAGAGTCTATTCAATTGGCCCGAGTTTGAGCAGGGATCGGACAACATGTTGTTGTTCGCGGAGGACGGGGTGCTGATGCAACTGGTCTCTTCGGAGCGAATTGATGGTAATTGTACGGGGTTGTGACTTTTCTGTCTGTGAACGTGAAAATGGGAATGCTGGAGACTAGATGGTTCAATCGGATGTCTCAATGAAACGATGACATGAGGCGAGAGTTTCTTTCCATTACACGATCTCGGCCAAGCCGCTCGTGCACCACTGCCAAAGTCAATGGCTGTTAAGGTTTGCCGTCTCCGTTGCGGTTCCCACGAGATGATACACGCGTCCTTGAGTGAGTGGTCATGGTAGGTTTCGCGTGGCACTGTGCTGCGTGCACACTCGGAGCCTTAAGATTCCAGCGTGGACAGTAGCTAGTAAGTAGCCACAGTTAATCGTTCTGTGCACAGCCGTGCCGTGCGATGCTGATTCAGGGACCGCCCCATCTCGAATCCGATGCCGAACCCAGATGTAAGCAGTGGATCAGAAGCAGGGCTGCATTGACGTAATCCGCGAGTAATCTGTAACTTATAGTCCGATCCGCCACAAACAGTCCACTTACTCCGTTTTTATGAGTAAGTTGGCCGTGTTCGTTTCGAGAATGACTTCATCATCATGTTCCAGTAAATATGGGTAGGATTACTGCGTAGTCAGAAGTCATGATCAGTTACTTCTTGTTGTTGTGATCCCCCGAGGAGTTGTCACGGGCATGCAGATCGATTGGGGGCTTGGGGCTTGGCGGGAGTTCCCTGATTTTCTTCCCCTCCTGGGAAGATCCGCTGCGTTCCCACAGTTGGTCCAGCCACTCGTTAGTCTCCAGGCATTGCATTCTAACCAGGGTCACCCAGGCTAAGCTAGGGTCCTGGTTCCCTAGTCCCTCTTCCCCCCGTCCCTGATAGATTGGGCTCTGAACCATGGGAATCCCCAACTGATTTAACTTGTCGTGGAAGTGGTGTCTTTTTTGCTGTTTCCGGATTTTTCTAACGATTGATTTGATTTGTTTTTGTTTTCTCTGCCATTGACGCGGTTGTTCTCCCTCTTGGAAATATCCACATGTTATTGGTATCAGTTAGTGTTGTTGCAAGGTGGACTAGCGGCTGCAGCTTGGCGATAGTTTACGCTGATAGCAGCGACAGCGAGCAGGAACGGACGGAGTCTAAAAGTCCACCGGTTCCATTCCATCGCCAGGTTATCTTCTCAGGCCCACCGCCAAGGCTGAGTGGGATCGGAGCACTCGCATGCATTGGGTCCGTTGTCTTCATTGAAATTGGATCGAGGGCAGCTAGTCGTGTTTGCTGGTCCTGATTAGGTATATCTTAGATGAATTGCCCCCGCGCGTTGATTGCTACTGCTACTCCCCCGCCTCTCAGTAATCAATTGAACGCGGGAGTCAAAGGACCTATAAGCTCTAGTGTGCTGCCTGTTGTTGCAGTGAGAGAAGAGTCATACGATTTTTGTTGTTCTGCTGACGGCCGTTTTCCCCGTGGCATTGGAAGTGACCCCCCTTCCACGTTCTCTCCCTCACCATGCATCTCTGCAAAACTCTGGTCGCCGCCCTTTCGATCTCGGCCGTTTCCTCTGCAATTGTGTTCGATGGAGAGCCGGACGTCAACAGCAGTGCGGTGCAGAAGCATCTCCAGGATCGGTCGGCATTGATCACCTTGGAGAAGCGACAGCGACAGGGTGCGTAGATTGGATCATCCTAAATCTTCTTGCCTCAGACTGACGCGGGCGCAGACCACGCCTTTCGACAGAACCTCTCTGCAGTCGCTCGACAGGCAGATGCCATTGTCGATGCGATCCGTCAATATGAGATTGACAGTTTCTGGAGGGTGCCCGGGACGGTGGAAGACGAGGACAAGGAAAGGTTCGCGGGCGAGATGTTTCTCAAGGCCAAGCCGCTCATTCCCGACACGCAACTCTGGAAGATCGTGAAGCGGATGCCCAAGGGCGCTCTCCTGCATGCCCATCTGGCCTCGATGCTTCCGTATGAGATTCTACTTGATGCTGTCATGAAGACGGAGGGGATGGTCGTCACCGTGTCGCAGCCGGTCACGAATGAAATCGAACAGAAGAACGCGACCCTCACCTTCGCCCACGTCAACCACACAATAGCAGCCTCAGGGCCGGCAATTGATTCCACAGACTACGTACCCAACACTCAGCTCCCGGTCAAGTATGCCGCTCAATCATTCACCGGGGGAAGCCAAGCTTTCGCCGACTTCGTCTTGTCTAAGCTCGAGCTCCAGCCCGAGGATTCCATTAGGCATGACCTTGGCGTCGACCAGATTTGGAGGATCTTCCAAGCTGCCTTCACGCCGGCTGACAGTATGATGTCGTACGAGCCTATTCTACGGACATTCTACCAGCAGCTCTTTGCAGCTCTAATCGACGACGGCATCAACTGGGTCGAAATTCGTGCCAGCGCATCCTCGGGGATTCTGGTCCACCAAGGTGACGAAGATGCCGACCCAAATCTCGATGTGTACTGGCAGGTGATGGTGGAGGAACTGGACAAGTTCAAGCAGAGCGACAAAGGGAAGAATTTCTGGGGCGCCCGTGTCATCTGGTCGGACATCAGAAGCGAGGATCGTGCCTCGCTCACAAGCAGTAAGTGGGCCTGTCCCTTGTATCCGGAAAGGTGGGCTGACATGACCAGGCATGAAGGTTGCTCTCGGGAGAAAGGCCAAGTTCCCTGAACTTATTAGCGGATACGACTTGGTAGGCCAGGAAGATCTTGGTCGTCCTTTGTCTGATGTGGCCCCAGAGTTGGTCTGGTTCCGTGAACAAGCCGAGCGATTGAATCTCACGATGCCTTTCTTCTTCCATGCTGGAGAGACCCTTGGGGATGGTAACTCAACCGACTACAATCTGGTCGATGCGATCTTGTTCAACACTCGACGGATTGGCCACGGGTTCAGTCTGTACAAGCATCCTCAACTTATCGACGAGGTGATCACCAACTCAATCATGGTTGAAGTTTGTCCTATCTCGAATGAGGTTCTCCGCCTTGCGACCGATGTTCTGCATCACCCGCTGCCTGCGATGGTCGCCCATGGGATTGCTACTGCCATCAGCAACGACGACCCCGCAATGCTTGGCCAGGATGCGGCCGGCCTAAGCTATGACTTCTATCAAACCATACAAGGGTTCGACAACATCGGACTTGCTGGACTGGTGAGTGTCAATTCCTGATACTCTTCTACCATTCCTATCTAACCAGCCACCGTGCAATTAGGGAGCCCTCGCTCAGAATAGTCTTCGATGGGCCAACTTCGAGGACCAGTCGGATGGAGATTGGGTTCGGGACATCGATCTTGGAGAACGTGGCACCGGCATCAAAGCGCAATATATGCAAGTGTGGAACCAACAATGGGAGGACTTCTGTCAATGGATTGTCAACGAGTATGGCAACGAGTGGCAGAACGCGACGATGGGGATGACTACAGCATGAGGTGTCAACCGATATTTGTATATATGTATGCGTGTCAGGTTGATGGAAATGAAAATCCATCTTGACCTGTCGCAATGTCATCGAAACATCAGTCGGGACCAGTACAACCGATGTCCTGAGTTCTCCAGTAGTGTACCCGAGATGCATTGAGCTTCTGGTGCCGACTCCAGTCTTCGCGACAAGTGATGTCTTTGTGTTGAATCCCTATCACGTGTCCGAATCTTGACTCAATGCGAGCACATCAAGAGAAAGAAGAGACAGGAGGGTCCTGACATATGAGAGGCGTTCAGTCGGTGACACCACATTGCACAGCACGTGGGTAGTATGGCCGACAAGCTGGACCATTTTGGGGAGGTTATTTGTCGGTGCTGCTTCGCGGGTAGTGGTTGATGCCCATAGGCTGGGCAATTGACAGGAGACCTCCGGTTCCAAGCTTGTAGCATTCCAACGTGGAAGCCTCTGGACCTCGGCTTTCAGCACATTGGTAGGTGAGATCCAAGCAATGAGGCTGGCGGTGAGACATGGTGCATCGGATGAGCGATGATCTCTTGCCCCAACTCGGCTGGTATTGCCTGTGGTTGCCATGCCCCACCAGGCAAGAGCTTAGACGCACTGTGTAATCGGGAGGCAAGGACATTGCTTTTGCTGCTACTTCTCCAGAGGCGTGTAAAGTGCCCGATCCGCCCCAACCCGGGGAAATGGAGCAGATGAATGCAGCACAGCCACCGGGGAATCTGCAGTTCCTCGTCTCCCCAGAATGTAGTGACCAACAGCACAGTGACAGTGCGCGGGGAGGCGGTTTAGGAAAGAGTCTTGGAGTTTGTTTCACAGAGGATCTCGGAATCTTAGTAAGATACAGTCAGTCACTAAGAAGAACGCCATGGTCACGAGGGAAGGGGGCGGGAGAGTAAAATTGAGCCGAGCATATGACAAAGACGAGGAAATGAATCACTGATATCTGTCAGATTTGTTTGTTGTCGGCAAGCTCCGAGGGGAGAGCGGAAAAGGCAGCCAACCGGACTGGAGGGGAAGGGAGAAGGGGGGAAGAAAGGCGAGTCTTGCCTTCGCTAAGCGCTTGGGAAGTGGATGAGTGAGTGAGTAAATGACAGGTCAATCCGAACTGTCCGCCTCTTTTCGTTCCGCTCCGACCCTTTCCCCCCCGGGCCCCCCGGTTTTCGAGTTTCTTGCAGATGTTCTGCACACAAAACTGGGTTGGAGTCAGCCTGCAGTGAATCAGTGCCTGCAGGGCGATTGGAATGAGCAGTGGTCACCTGGACATAGAGCAGCAGGAAGCGAAGAAGAAGAAGAAGAAGAAGAAGAAGAAGAAGAAGAAGAAGAAGAAGAAGACAACAAGAAAGAAGAAAATGGAATAAGCGGCGGCGGCATCTGCGCCTGCTAATCCCGCCCATTACTTAACTTGTACTGTACAGTACAGTAACTACTTACCCACCTACCATTGACTTATCCTCAGTCCTTGAGTAACTAACTTACAGGACTTGGATTAAGGCTGCAGGCTGAAGATCTCCGGGGTTTCGTATGGCTTGCCCTTGCAGCTGATCCATCCATCGGTCTGGAAAGTGTTCCGACCATCCATTGATCTCCCAAACACAAACACACACCCCTATGTGTGAAGTGAGTGAGTGAATTGATGAATTAATGGGCCTCCCCCGGATTCGATTCCCTTCCCTTCCCCAATTCACCGCCACACGCAACACTGACAGCATCACCTGCTAACACTCGCGCACTTACCTCACTTACCTTCCCTCTTTTCCCCGGTTCCCCTATTCCCTCAGGCTATGTAGCTTGTCTGCTTCAATCCTCTTGTCGTTGTCGTATCCGTCTTTTGGCGGGTTCAGCGGAGAGAAAGAAAACAATGGAGCGTCTTCCCAGAGGCTTGTTGTCGACAGCGACCAAAGAGGTTTCTGCAGACCTGAACGGGGCAGACTCAGTGGACGTCGCAGATGTTGCCCGTTTGTGGAGAGGTGAGCGTGGCCGCACCTTCTCTCTTCTGCGATAAATTGTACTGTGCTTACTCTATCCGGCTATGTTCTAGTCTACAGTGCCAACCCCTCAGTGCACAATGACGACAAAGGATACCGGCTTGAGAACTTCTTTTGGAGGATCTGGGGGAGCAAGCCCCTGCTGCGATCTATGACTGGCTCCATGCTAGCCGAGCTGTTTTCGAGGATCTCAGACCAGCGTTCGATTTCCCTATCCGAGCTACACAAGGTATGATGGTTCCTGACACTGCCTGTACGGATATTTCTCTGGGTCTAACCTTCCTCAGGCCCACAAGAGAGCAAGCCAGGCAGACAAGCCACGCAAGCCCAGCAGTGGCAGCGGCAGGCCACTTCCACCCATTCTGAAGAAGCCAAGTAGCAGTCACTCCTCCCACGGAGAAACACACAAGACTACCCGTATTCTGCTCACTGGCCTGGACGGTCAGAGCACCACCCGCAAACCCTCTAATACACCCACGCCCATTCCTACCACTCCATTGATCGTGCCAGAGCCTGCCACTAGAGCTCCGCAGAAGAAGGCTTTTGTCGTGGCCGCGAAAGCGAGAGGAGCCAAACGTCGACCAGTGATCATGCGTCGCAAGTCGTCCCAGCACTCCACCGATACCACGGGCAGTTCTAATCAGGATCCTGCTCCACTGATGACGGATTACCCCGAAACTCGCCCAGTGCTGATGCGGCGCAAATCCTCTCAGCAATCGTCTGGCACCACCAGCAGTTCGGTCTTCGAGGAGACTCCGCCGGATTCTACCCCACTGGATGCTGAAGACCTTCGCGGACCTGCACTCAAGCCACGCGGGTCGTCTCGACTTTCCTCTGGTACTAGTGGTGATTCTGCTCGCATCTTGACTCCGCAAGACGACTCCATTCCTGAGAGTGTGAAACGTGTTGGATATCAGAAGTCGATACAGCGTGATTCCTCTCAGCCGCTGTTGGAAACCATTGGCGTCTCTGTCGTTCCAGAGTCGGCCGCACTGACCGTCGACCATTCTCAGATTGAATCCAAGCAGAATGAGATCAAGGTGTCCGAGACTGTGGAAGGTAGGCAGTGACTTGCTAGCATAGGAACGGGTTCTGATTCTTTCTCAAGAGGTTGCTATATCCCCTAAGGATACAAACCAAGAGCTGCGTGAAAACATTAAATCCCAGTCAGAGACACCTGATACAGCTGCCACTCAGTCAGAAGAGCAATTCAAGTCGGGCAGTCTGCCGGCAACATTCCTTGAAGATTTGAGGGAGCTGCTCAATTCAGACAGTGCACCTAGAGCTCCTTCACCACCACCGCGAAAGCGTCCGTGGGGCGACTTCCTGGCCAAGCCACCCACACCAAAGCCGAACTTCTTCGTGCCAAGCGCTATTCGCCGCTATGACTACCGACACCTGGAGCCCGAGAACTACCAGCCGTCTACGGCCAAGCTGGTCAGCAAGAACTTTCGGCAACGGTTCTCGGACAGTGTCCGCCAGGAGCACTTCCCTGCGTCGTCTGTGGGGGTTTCCGGCTTCGGGTCGCTGTCCGCGCCAGCACCCCCAGACCCGATGCAAGCAGCATCTAGTGGGATACTCACCAGCACGAACCTGTCTCCTCAGTTTGAGAGCTCAACCGGCACTGTATCGACAGCCCCGACCTCTGGCGTGACTATGGAGACCATATCGGACGATGAGATTTCCGTGCACTCTGATGTCGAGGACGATAGCGCCGAGGAGGACGAGGGACCGGCGTTGCTGACTCCGTTCTCGTTGCCTCCCAGCCGCAGCGGAATCAGCATGATGCTGGAGCAGAGCCGCGGGAGATTTGGGCGGCGCTGTCCTGAGAATACTGGGGCCTGATTGCCAGGAGGTGTTGCAAGAGGATGTTCATAATACGAAGTCACGGGAAACGATCGCGATGTATGCAGCGGCATTTCTAAATGATAGATATGGCTTGCTTTTGCTTGAGAGATAAAAGAAAAAATAAACCATGCTGCTTGACAATCATAAACCATCGACACCGTAAACACCGTAGAGCCCTCCATTAAGCCACCGATTTTCCGACCCGACCCTGTCTTTCCCAGACCCCTTCCTCCTTCCTCCCTTGCCTCCATCCACCCCCCAACCCAACCCCTCCTCCCTTCCACCCTGTCTCCAACCCCCATAACCACCCAAGAAGAAAGAAATCAAACCATGCCCCCCTCCTCAGCCTCAACCCCCTTCTCCACCCCCTCCCCCTCCCCCTCTGCAATAATTCTCCTCTGATTCCCCCACCACCTCACCCCAGTCCAACAAGCGGACCCCACCCAGAGCCCCAAATTCACCAAATCCACCCAAACCGCATGCCGCATGCGCCGGGTCTCCGCACTCTCCGTCGCCGACTTGCGGCCCAGATACTCACTCCCAAAGATCCCAAACAGCGTCAGCCACACCACACACAGCACCACCTCCCACACAAACAGGGGCAGCTGCCAGCTCGCCCGCCGCGCCACGGGCACCCTCGTCTTCAGGATGTACTGCATCAGCACGATGTAGGCGATGGCGGTGCCGCAGCCCAGCAGGGCCGTGACGATCGCGTACACCCATTTCGCGCCGGCGGTGGCCGTCGCGGCCGAGTCGTGGATGGTGTGGATGTGGTGCGCGTAGAGGGCCAGCGTGGTCAGCCCGAAGACGAGCTGGCAGATGTGCAGGCTGAGGTTGAGGTAGTGTTTTGGTTTGCTGCGGCGGAGGTGTGCGGGGATGTTGTTGGTCGTGATGGTGGTGGTGGTGCCGGTTTTGTTGGTGGACATGGGAAACGAAGAGGAGGGGTCGTAGGTGCCGTTCTTTTTGGCCTTGTGGGTTTTGTGGGCTTTGAAGCCGAATTTGAAGAGGCGGAGGAGGAGGAACCACATTTTTTTTGGGTATGGTGGGTTTGGGTTGCTGCGTGGGGGGGGATTGTGGTTGTTGTGGTTGTGGTTGTGGTCGTGGTTGTGTGTAGTGTGGTGTGGTGTTGTATGCGCCGGCGCAGAACAACTTTGATATCTTGGGATCTATGTGTATATGCTGAAGCAGATCTATGTAGACGAGAAGAAGGAGAACGATCAAGGAAAGGAGGGCGCTGCCTCGGGTATATGTCTGGTATATGCAGAAGGATAGTCTCGAGAGGTAGGTACTCCACAGAATGAAGTGTTAAGAAGTGTCAACAGAATGGAGTGTTGGTCAGTCTCAATATGCAGACTCAAGCTTATGTAGAGAAGAAATGTCAATGACCGACCAACAGAACACAGAAAGAACAATGAGTGAAAGAACGTTGCTGGCTGGCTTGCTGAACAATCCCCTTCACCTCGCCATTCACCTCTTTATATCCTTCCACGGCTCCCAGACCACCCACCCTCAACAGCTATTTTTATCTTCTTCAGGAACCCCTCCTCCCTCTCCAGGTTGAAACACTATAGCGTGAGTTGACCAGGTAGACCTTGCATCAGCAAACGCGCGCGACGAGAACCTTGAAGTTAGCCACTGCCACTGCGGGAATCCGATGGGTTCTGCACACTCCCACGGCCTGTTTCAGATCGATCGACAGGCGGCGCTTACAGTACTAGTAGACATGGTTGGTGCACACAAATCGCCCGCCTCAACAGTCGGTGGCTGGATTCCAATCAATCCTCGCTTGGCGATTAACTACAAAACTTCGAAACCTTTCAGCTTCCAGAGTTAACCGCCTGCCTCCCTTGCAAGGCTTCTTTGTTCATCTCATTCATCTCGACCTTCTCCCTAACACAACTGCTAACTGCTACCTAGACAGCATATACACCAGACAACTGCTACTAAACCAGGCTAACCTGCCAAACCTGCCAATTCTCACATCTGCACATGCCATTATCGATAGTCAATCAACCAACCCTTATTCCTATGCAACTATCCAACCCAGTTCATCCCCCATCCTTCCAATATGTATCAATGTTGAAACACAATGCCAATTGGACCAGAAACCATGCATGACGCTGACGTGACATTCATCGACCAGAGCGGGGATTCATTCCATGCAAAACAAGACAAAATAAAACAAGGCTAACAATCAATCATGCAGAACAAAAACAAAACAAACCATTAAACATCAAGAGACAACGACTCAAAACCGAACAATCGCAATGGCGGCTCACTGGTCACATACCCGAGCGCCATTGCTTCTTTGTCAGGGCGGCCGCGTCTCTCCGTCAACAACCCCTTTAGCGCCCGACCCCGTCGCCGCCACTTTTGGTGTATTACTCGGTGGCATGGCGCCCTTGGCACTGGTCGGTGGAGCTAAAGGTGGTGGTGCTGGTGGGCTCGAGTCCGCCTCTTCCTCATGCTCGTTGCTCCCATACTCATCCTCATGGGTTCCAACTCCGCCTCCCATCGAAGAGTGGTCCACAGATGCGCGATCGTATCCATGATCATAGGTTGCCGGCTGAGCTGCTGCCTGCTTAGTGGCATTCTTGGTCGCCTTCTTGCCTTTCCGACCTTTCATTTTGGCTTTCTCAAGCAGCCGCTTCTTCTCTGCCAGCCGCTTGCGCTCCTTACGATCCTTGATTTCGTATTGCCGAATGAGGGCCTCCGGTGGGCGTCCAAAGATACTCTCGTACTCACAGAACTCACAGATCCAGATGTCCTCAATGCTTGGGGGATGGTGGAGATTTGCGTACTGCTGTTGGATTTTGCGTTGACGCGCAGCCAGGGCGTAGATGCTCCCTGGCGATCGCTTTTTCTTCCTGGCCGCCGGAGCTTCACCCGTGCCCTCTTGTGGTTGCTGTGCTTGGTGCTGAGATTCTTGCGAGTTGGGTTGAGCGGCCACGTGGGGGCTCGTTTGTGTTCCCTGAGAGGGACCCCTCGGGTTCGGTGCGGCAGCGGGGAGAGACAAGGGTGAGCGGTGGGGTGGGGGATACGAAGTCTGGGGTTGGAGCGCCATGCCTCTCGAGGAATCGGATTCACATGTGAACGTGAATTGTGTCTTAGTAGGCGTGGGAGTTTGTTGCTCTAGCATGCTAACATGCTTGGGACCGGTAGGGGGAGGGGCAAACGCGGACGCGGCAGCATTCGCAATGGCCGTGGAGATGATACCCTGGTCGGGCTTCTCGGACGAGTCACCTGAAGTACAAATAAGCAAAGGTTTGGTCGACCGGGAGACGGATGGTTGCGTACCTGCAGGCCCAGGGGAGGACAACAAACCGTCACGTCGGCTGGGGGACCGAGGCCAACTGATCGGTGAATGAAGCGAGAAAGAGTTTCGCCCTGTGCTGCGATGCGGTTGACGACCGAGACGACCTCTGCCGGCCCCGGACATGCCACTGGAGATCGGAGACGCGGGGCTCCCGGTGCCGTAGAATGTACTCACATGGCTGCTTTCACTGGCCGAGGAGGGTTGGACCGAGCTGGCCAGCCCCATGGTGGAAAATTCAGGAGAAAGGGTGGAATGGTGGCTCCCGAGGCCGCCTGGAGTCGGGATCTTGCGTTTCTTTTTGTTGTTAGTGTTCTCAAACGCGTCGTACCCATCAGGACCCGCCGAGGACGACTTGAGGGGCGCCCGGTCCCCGTTGGTGGGGACGGCCTGGGGTTGTGCACCGAAGGCCGACGGGGACAGAGAGGACCCTCGAAAACCGGCACTTCGTCGAACAACTACAGGCCCGTCCTCATCGCCGCTCTCCAGCTCTATTCCGTTCTCGTAATGGAGGTGGTCACGCTCGGGGCTCTGATCACGACCTTCACTCTGTTGCACGTACACCTTCGTGTCATTTACAAGATCCGCGCCATCCACCGGGGTCCCATAGAAAAGTTGTGTTGCCGGGGCCGGAGGGAAGAGGATCGAGTCGGCCGCTTCGGAGGACAGGCGAGAGCGAAGGGTACGCCTAGGGAGAGGACGAATTAAACGATCCGGGTAGACAGGAGACGGTGTATCAGGAGCCGCATTGAACATCCCATCTGCGGGTGAACAGTATCAGCAACCCAGCAGCCAGCAGACCCTCCAACCTTCCTTCTGTGTGGCCCGCCTCGGGGGCAATTTCCATTATTTGTACGCACCAAGAACGCCAGGCGTTCCTTCTCCCGAGGAACAGATATCGTTGGTAAAAGACATACTCAACGTAGCAGTCATGCTGCAAAATTCTCGACTAGCTTCAACCACAGTCACGGCCGAGACGCCGTTTTGATTCTCCGAACAACCAACCCCAACGATATCGCCCGCGGTGTCTTATTGTCCCAGCTTTTTTTGGGTGATGCTAATGGTCTGCCGCCAAAGGCCCTCCGAAAAGGTTGATTTCGTCTGACCGACAGGGAAACGGCGATTTATGAGGGAGGGTGGGGAGGAGGAAGAAGAAGAAGAACGGCGGGTTGTTCGTAAACCGGCACTGATTTGGCACCCACACTTAGTTGTCATGTTTCCCCTACGTTGGCAAACGGAACCACACGATGTTTGACCGGACCGCTGCCCAAGCGTGCATCCAAGGTGTCCATTTCCACCAGCCCTCAACCGCCAGGGCAAGTGCGAAAGAAAATGCCGAATGAGCGTAAGGGACTCACATTGTTGACCATGCACCGGGACCGCTCATGCAGACTTTGACTCAGCCCGAGGTGTCGGTAGGGACAGACCAAGAAACGAGACCAACCCAACCCCGGACCTGGAGATTAACTCGGAGGGAGGGATAGGAATGTATTGAAAGACCCCAGCGAGACAAGTGAGGGCCGAATTATATGGGGGGGGGGATTAAATCTGGGGAGAAAGAAGAGGGGGGAGAGGGGGGAAAAGACATTAAGGTATAGGGGACGAAGAAGGCGGAGGGGTGGTGGAATCGAATCGTCGGTCGATAATTATTATGAATGACCAATAAGTAATCCGCTTTCCCTTTCTAGAGGAGCTGCGGATACCTCAGGTGGTGGTGAATGCCTGAGGCATGAGAGCTCCAGGCTGTCAAGAGCTAGGCCATTTTTAGTGATGGCCCCACCCGACCAAAGACTCAACTAAGTTAAACCCAGTCCCAGCACTTTTCTTGCTTCGTCATCTCACCTGGCACCAACTTGGCTCAGCCGGCTCGCTCGATATACACTCGACTGGCCTAGGACCTCATCGTGCTTTTATCCTACGCAACTTTGTCGGATATGATATCCATATCCACCCCAAGCGAAGGAATACTCGAGTTTTCCCGAGTCCTGGACCATCCTTGCGATCTCTATCGATCCCTACTAGCATAGCCAGACAGTCGCGGTGCCGATTACCCAGCTTCAAGCGAACGGTCACACATCACTTGCCGCTTGGCCACAAACTGACAAAGCCACCTGCTCCCTCACCTACGATCTTTTGAGACCCTGATTCCTCACAAAACATATACCCGATTTGATGGATATCTGGGGGATTAGGACAGGTCGAGTAGTGGGCAGCGAGGAGGCAGCGATGCAATTGTTGTCCGGAAGAGGATTGTCTGACATCTCGGTTGAATGGGAATGTAGTCAGTCCAGTTTGACTGTGGGATGAATGATAGCTCATTGCAAAATGCCGTGCTTAGAGGCTTGCAGCGTACGTATCATTCAGACTATCCCCCCACCCATTATTTTGTCGAGCAGTAGAAAACCTGTATCTGTATTCCGTAGGATATCTTGCAACGTATGGAACACGGTAAAGAGAGAAACAGAATGATGGACCAGGCATCTCGTCATCAGGAGATGTTGGTGGCAGAGGTGCATGGAAGGTAAGCGGGGTTCCAGGACACTGGAATGAGTGCTTTCGTCGCATTCCTCCCCGAGCACCTGATGCGCAAGAACAAGACGAAAGAGAAGAACCTGAGGGGAGAGGAGGGGAAAGTGAGAGAGAGCAAAGATCGGAGTTGAAGAAGAATCATGGGTTTTAGAGAAGATAATCCCGAACGACACGATACAACGCGACAGATTCGCGAGAAGGAGGAAGAGACGGAGAAAAGAGGAGGAGCGGGGAAGAAATGACTCTAAAGCCAATGCGCGTTGACCGCAAAGCGAATCCCGCGCGCAGAATTGAAAGCAGCGCCCGTAGTCTACAGTAGCAGTCGTCGGTCCCGTTCCGGCGGCCGTCCGTCATTTGGTTGGAGTCCGTCCGTTCCTCTCGCCCTCCTCCTCCTCCTCCTCCTCTTGCTCGCTCGCTCCCTCCTCTGCCTTCTCCTCTTCTTTTGTTCTGCCGAATCCTCTCCCCACCTTTTCTCTCCCCTCTGACTATGTAGTCCTCGGCCTGAAGTTGAGCTTGCAGGCGTTGTTCTAGGATCGTTCCCTGCTTTGGTTCCCAATTGCCAGCTTCCTTTCCTTGATCTGCCCCCCCGGCTTTTTACTCGCAGCATCCTCTGATCGTCTTTCCCACCATTGTGGGCGTCGCTCTTGAATCCCACCACCTCCCACCCGTGTGCGACAGCTTGATCGTTCACGGGCAGGTGTGCTCAGCTTCTACGCTGTGCTCCAACCTCTATCTATATATTTTTTCTCCTCTATATTCCTATACGCACGGCTGGGGTCTCCTGCAGAGTTCTCCCGCTATTTTTATCCTCCCACCACCCTCCTCCCACCATGACGCCTCGGCGCTCCTCTCGTGCTCGCACCTCACAACCATCCCCAGCCATCTTACAACATACCAACTCCTCCAGCTCCTCTACCTCAATGACTCGCGAACGAAGTACTCGCTCCCACCACAAGATCTCCTCCCCTCTACGATCCTCCACGAACCGGTCCCAGTCGATCGACGATGCCGACATTGGCTCGAAAGGTGACTACAGAGAGACGCGGCAGCGCCAGCGTGCTCGAGGGGAGGAGGACAACGATCAGATGAAACTTGCCGACGGTGACGACGACGACGGTGAAGATGAGGAGGACGAAGAAGAAGAGATCACTCGCTGTCTCTGTGGACAGCAGGAATACCCGGGTCTGCCTCCCTCGCGTCGGGAGGCAATTGGTCGCAATGGACTGCGTGGCGGCATTAAAGACGAGGCCCTCTTGGGTCTCTCCGCAGATCCTGCTGATTTGATGTCGGATGACATCGGCAGCATGTTCATCCAGTGTGATTCCTGCAAAGTCTGGCAGCACGGAGGCTGCGTGGGTATCATGGATGAGGCCATGAGCCCCGATGAATATTTTTGCGAGGAGTGCCGAAAGGATTTGCACAAGATCCTCAATGAGATAAATGGGTAGGTTCACAGCTTGGTTTTGGCTTTCATTGCTGGTATTTGTTGCTTGCGTGCACTTGTGTTGGCAGCTTCTTTTTGTTTTTGCTTGGTGGGACTGCTCGCTGCTGTGAAATTTTTTGCCGCATCAGCAAGACCAGTAACAGCTGCAAAAACCGGAGATTTTGTCTTTGTTTGGATGGCAGTCATCTATGGACCCACGTTTCTTATCTCCTTCTATGCTTTCTGCTCACAGTAACACAGATCATACTCCTCCCAATATCTACCGGTCGCCCCTCCTCCTCCCTCCACTGCCGTTTCATCGAGAGACTCATCGCGCGATAACTCTCGTCGCAATAAAGACACAAAGTCACGATCGAATGACGCAGCTATCAATCCCAAGCGCCGATCCACCATGAACAGCCGGGACGCAGCATATGACGAGGAGGAACAGCTGCGGCGTGCAATCGAAGAGAGCAAGGAAGAAACGAAGCCTGGAGATGAACTTGCTGCACGGAGGCCAAAGAGAAGCCGCAGCGATAGCGAAGCGTATGTCATTCCGATTGCTGGTAGCGTCGTCATCAACTGATTTGAGACAGTCAAAGGCAAACCACGAAACGCCAACGCACAAGCTCACCCTCACCTGGCGCCGTCTCCAAAAGCAATCCCGTGTCGCAGCAGGTCTCAGAAGACGAGTCCAGGGCCAAACCAGTCAATAATGTAGCTCGCAGACAACGGGCTGCATCGCGCGGACAGCGCGACAAGGATCTTAAGGATACTGAAGAACCTGAGCCTGAACCAGCAGACGCCGCAAACCGCAGGAAAGCGAGGTCCGACAAGGCGAAAGATGGTAGGTTGTGTATTCCATGAGTACATTTGACGGAATGACTAACCCAGGCAGACGAGGCAGAGTCCGAAAATGAACCCGGCTCGCCAATCAAGCCAGTTGCGACCGACCCTGAACCCAAACCTCCTAGCCCTGAACTCACCCCCGCCCCTGCACCAGAACCGGCACCATCGCGCCCCGCCACTCGCAAATCGGGCCGTCCTCCTGCCCGTCGCGGTGGCCGCGTGGGCCGCAACCAATACACTCGGGATCGGGACATGAATGGAACGGACTCCAACTTCTCGACCCGATCTCCGCGACGCGGGCAGTCGCACGACATCGGCAGCGATTCGCCCAGGATCAATGGCATACATTTACACAGTGGAGAGTCCGGCAAGCCCAGTCGGCCGCGCTATGTGAACCAGCGCACCACCATGAACGAGATGAAGAGACGCGTGACGGCTATTCTCGAGTTCATCTCACGGATGCAGGTCGAAATGGCGGTGGCCGGGGAGAGTACGACGCCTCCCAACAATGGTGCCGCCCGAGTCAATGGCAGTCTGTTGGAGAGTGCCCTGGCGCTGGCCGTTGGCGAAATTGACCCGGCCAGCGCAACAGCCTCGGACAGCGATGCCGCCAGTGGGCCGACGTCGATCGAAAAAGAGAAAGACTTCAAGGAACTGAGCAGCGTTGAAATGATGGATGTACTCACGCGTCATCTCCTCAAATGGCAGCAGGAGTATGGCAAAGTGGGAGAACGCTGATCACTTTTTTTGTTCCTTTCTTCTTTTTTTTCTTTTTCAGCATCTTGGGAGAAAATACATAAGATACCCTTCATCTCTGGTTGCACTTGCGTGGGGACATGTATAATATGGGAGCTTCTGCAGACAGCATCTTTGGGACTGACTGGATAGAGATCGGCGTTTTTACGAACTGTGTTACGGGAACTGGTACCTTGCTGAGAACTTTCTTTTTTTCATTGAGGCGGCGTGATTGGATATTGCTGCAGCGGTCAAGCATCAAGCATATTTGCTGCATAAACCATCATCTCGGCGCTTTTGTTACGTGTCACGGGTGTTGAGGTTTTTGTCTTTGTATGAGGATGTTTCTGCAATTCGCTCGACTTATTAAGTGGGTTTAATTGCTTTCTTGAGCTATAGCTTATCTGGTTGACCCTTTTGCTGTAGCTGACGTCTGATCATGGTGCGTGGGCATTGGGCTCTTTGCTTGCTATGGTAGATAGGAGTGTATCTCTCATCTGCACCAGTGTCTCCGATCTTGATGTAGGTAGCGTACACGCTGCAGAGCCTTCGCGGCCAGGCGTCTGCCCAGAGAAATAAGAGCCTGCTCATGGAGTCAGCAAAACAATGTCGTTACAGATGCAGGTACAGTACATGTACCTTGTCATCACGTGCCGGCCTTCCTGAGTATTCTGGACCACGTGACCCAGCGACTCACCGTGAGCTCCTGCGTAGTTTACCTTCCACCTTCCAACCACCAAGAACTTCCAAAAGTAATTCCACCTTGCCCCTTTCCCTGGACTTCTTCAAACTGTGATACTATATACAGCAGGCCACCCGATAGGTGACTAGCCAGCCAGATAGGAAATGAACCACACAATCCACCCGTCGTATTCGAATCTCCGAGTCAAGTTCCGGTATATGTAACCACGCTGGCAGCGCATGAAGCTGCCCGGTGCGAGATCCGTGGACCTGTGTGCGGAACCACTAAACTGTAGGTCTCTGATGGGAGCCGGTTTGTCGAGCTGATAATACATACCGAGTCGAGTCGGGTTGATCAAGCATAGTATATCCTGCTGCTAAGCTAGTGCGTGATCATCGTGTTCGAAAAACGACTCGACCCGACAGGACCTTGGCAGGATGACCCGCTCCGGGAGCTAGAGCCTCTGTTTCAGACCTATGGACCACACCACAGGTACCATGTCTTGCAGTGGCTCAGCTCTGCTGCCTTTTCTGATCGAACGAGAAGAAAGAATGGGGAATGAAGAGTCGGGGTCTGGATGGACTTGATCAAAGAAGGGGGGGGGTTTGTTGAGGGTGGGCCCGGTCAGGGAGATGCTTGGGTGGGCCGGGGGGTATTGTGCTTTGCCCTTTTTGGTACTTTCCTTTCATGCTCTTCAGAAAGAATTGCGATGGGAATCTTGGATATAGTCTGAGCCGAGTGGATGGCGTCGGGATATACTGTTGGTGCGAGGAGAGAAGAAGGGGGGTAGAGGTACGGAGTAGAATAACCCATAACGTACTGAGGGTGCCTGGCATGAGAGGGATGTCGAGATTAAGTATAAGGGGCACGGGGTAGGAAAATGTATTGAATGACACTCTTAGTCTGGGTATATACAAAAAAGACTTTTAATAACATAGATAGAAACATAGGAGATTGTGCTGTCAATTTATTGAAAATGTATGAATATCATTGTTGAGAAAATACCAATTGGATCGGCAGTAGTACTCGTCACTGTGCAAAGAGACCTTGTGCTTTCTTGCTCTCACTTGACAACATGCATGGCAATTCGAGGGCACAATTGGACTACTGGTGGACTACTCCTGGCTCTACAAAGCAACACTCACCCCCGGAGATAGTTCAACCACCCTCCAGAAAACAGGGCCCATCCGTGCGGGGCAGCGGGAAAGAACCGCGGGGGGGGGAGGGAGTGGGGCAACGGCAACCAGGCCTGTATATCACATCCAGTCAGGCGCGAAATTGGGGTTATAGTGCATGATGGTGTGCCAGAACGCCAGGAACAAGACGATATAGATAGTCGCATCGAGCCACGTGTAGAACCACTCCTTCCAGAACTCCAAGTCCTCCCATAGGCATACGTGTTTCCACAACATGTTTGATACCGCGCAGAGGAACCAATGAACGGGGCCTGCGCTGCCCAGACCGAACCAGATGAGGGCGAGGTGCTCCGCAACCTGAACGGGGTCGGCCATGGCTACCTACACTCCTCTGTCAGGTTACTCGCGCAGGAGAGATTCTGGTCTGTGGCGAGGATATGGATGCAGGAATAATTGGGGGTGACTACTGAGTAGGGCACAGCGGGGTACTGATCGGTTGGGTTGATGCAGGGGAGTACTGTACACGTTGTCTTATATAGACATAGGGCTATCGATCTGTGCAGCTTCGAGGCTTAGTTTGGGACGGAGATCTTCAGCCATGCGCTTTGAGAGGAAGGAAGTGAAGACATGCTCCGTAGGAGATACCGGGATTAGGCGGGAAGTCTCGCTGGAAGAAAGACTAGTCTCATAGGTGACTTGGCGGTATCGGGAATGGTCCTTTTCATTTTGTGTATGAGCTAGACTAAATGATTGAGGCTGAGATAGTGCGAGGAATTATGCTGTTGATGTGAGTAAAGGGAGCAGATGACGTATACTGAGGGTGCTTAGCATGGGAGGGTTGTCTGGACCAAGTCTTGTACATGGCACAAGCTAGTCAAGAGCACCTTGAAGTTTAGCATGAATATATACGAAGAAGAGTTGGAGAGTAGTGTAAGTATTCTTCTGTGAAAAAAGCCGAGTGGGTATAAATGTCAAATGTCAAATGTCATAAATTAGAAAAAGAAAACCCCACTTGAATCAATCTACAACTACTGATACAGCAGATCTTTCTCCGCAGTAAGCGGTGCAAGAGAGATCACTTAAGCAGATAGTCTAGCGCCAGGCAGGTTGATTGTGGACTGAACAACACATCCCTCCCATCCTAAATAGAAGAATTATCCTTCCGGCCAACGGGCCCATCCGCGCGGGGCAGCGGGAAACCACGCGGAGGGAGTGGGGCTGGAGACCAGCATCATCTCCAGACAGGTTTCGTCACATCAATGAGATGACAATGAGAACAGACAGATTCACCAGGATCCACATAGAAAGCCAGCCAAACCAATACCCTTCGTCGCCGCATATATTGTACCCCATCCACGCCGCGGGCATGCAGGTCAACAATCCGAGAACGCAGGCGGCGCCGAAAGCGAGCCAGATGGCCATCAGCTCCCCGACCAGCCATTCCCAAGGCACTGGTGTTGCCATTCTGGTTAGGCTTTCACTACGTGGCGATTCGGTTGTGGGCTGGGCTTTGCAGTGCTGTTGCAGAAGAGTCAGGACTACGTCTGGATGTGACTACTAAGTAGGACACAGCAGGGCTGATGACAGATAAGTTAGGAGTTGACCCAGGTGCCGGGGGGAATACATGAGGTCTTATATAGACATCGGGCTATAGATCGATGCGACTCCTAGTCTCTAATTGAAAGGAGATCTTCCGCACGTGCTTTGAGAGTTCGGACGGACGTGCCGGTATGTTCCGCGGGAAATATCGAGTTCAGCCGTAAAGTCTCGCTAGATTGAAGTAGAACTATATAGTGGAAGCTCGGTTCCAGGGGGGGGGGGGGGGAGGGGGGGGGTTGACATTCCAATATAGCCTCTTTATTCATATTTCTGGCTAGTGCACTATTAAGCGAGATGCAAAGGAGTGGACTTTCGAAATAGTGAGTCCCTCGAAGCTCCCCACAAGGCAATAACCCCCGAGAATCGATCGTATGAATGTCGAGCTCTATCAATGTTGTTGCTTTATTGCCAATCATCATTGAGAAGTTCTCTGTTCCACTGCTTCCTTTGCTGCCATCGTTATCGTCTACTCCGCCTGCTCCTTCCCCAGCAGTGCCATAAGCCTTTACAGACTTAACAACCACCACCGAGTAAAGATTAGGTGATAAGACTTGCAATGCAAGGGCAAGTAATATGCGAATCTAGACCAGCTTGCTCACTGACGCGAGGGTCTAGATCCCAACATCTAGACTTCGCTGAGGCGTGCCCCTCAATGCACACAGCATCTCCACCACTAAAATCCATACTAAGCCCCCAACAACCCTCTCACACCATCTCTACCACCAAAAATAAAACTCTTATCCATACTCCAATACTCTACACCAGTAATCCCAAAACACCCCACCTCAGCAGTCACCCTCGACGAAACCCCCAACACCAACCCCCCCAACACCCAAACCCAAATCCAAGAAATACATACTAAACCCACACCCAAACAGAGCCACTTCATCAGAAAGTCCATCCAAAATAACTTGTCCACGTGAAATGGCAGCCAAAAGCCCCATAGCCGGGTTCGGCTATCAGCCCTGCAAGTGCTGTCTCTCTCAACAAGCACCCCGTATGGTCTAGATGGAGACGACGGTTGTGGGTCACCTAACGGTTTCCTGCTTCAGACCTGGGTTCGAACCCCAGTACGGGGGAATTTCTTTTTTGGCGGCCGCTCGAGGGGGGATGGTGTCATGGGGATGTCATGGTGTTGTTTGAGGGGGATGGAACGGAGGGAGGGGGCCGGGGGCGGGGTGATGTCAGGGCTTTGATTGCGAACGAACATCAATGGGGGCTGAGAACTGAAGTTTTGAGTGGGCGGGGGTGAGATGCAGTCTCGAGGCAGGAGATCTCGGAAGTAGCACTACTACTTGCGAAGAGGAACGCTATTGAGGGTCTGATTTGGGGGGTTTCGTGTGGTGAGGTGAGGACGTCATCGCTGGAGAAGCCAGCAACTATCGCGGCAATGGGAGGCTGCTAGATTAGTGCTGATCGATCCGTCGAGCCATTATCGAGCACTATAGCGAGCTCACCAGCTCAAGCAGAGTAGATCTGGGCCACGAGGTCTGCTACGGTGGGATAGGTTCTATCCGAAGACGTCAGCGATGGAGCCTTGAATGAGAACTTCCATCCCGATTGGGAAACTTGCGTACAGCCTCAATTCTATGTCAAGTGACCTTGTGCACTGCGTCTGTTCTGGTTGAAGCCAGTGTCCTGTATAGGAGCGATGGTTTCTTCGCGATGGATGCTTGAAAGTGGCTGCAAGGGATGGGACTGCAGAAACCCAAATTGGAGAGAGACTGCGGCTGCCATCCCGGCCAATGGCTCGCTTGCAGAAGGTAGTGTAGATAGTATAAGATACGCTACCAGTCTGCTTTACAAGTCTGCTCCGAACCCCAGAGAATCAATTCAATACATCACATACAGAATGAATATTCGCTGTTATATTATATTATAAGCCAGACAGGGTCCTGTCGCTGAGTGTCTCCGAGATCATGACTTTCCGGTCTCAAGTGTTGGGCTTAATTCCGTTGAAATGGCGCAACTCACCGGGCTCATGCGACGAGACTGGGGAATGGACATCAGGGTTGAAAGACTGCAGGAACCAGGATTGACAATCGGGCGACTGGAAGAATTATTCCATAGTAACGCCGGAGCGGCTGACAATGAGATGGCAGTGGATATCCTCGACGAGCTAAACCATATCCTACCACAAATAAACTTGGCGCCTCACCACACCAAGAAGACCATATTTGTGACATCAATTACCGGGTTCCTTGGAAGTCAAGTGCTGCGCTGTATACTCGCGGATCCCAATGTCGGACATATCATAGGGTTAGTCCGGGCAAAAGAGATATCCGAAGCCGAGCAAAAGATCCAATATCATGCTGAGATCGGTGGCTGGTGGACGGGAAATCTGGACCCGCGTGTTGAGATCTGGCTTGGAGATTTGAGCAAGAAAAAACTGGGGCTGTCTGCAGAAAAATGGAAGTGCCTCACTGGAGAGTTGAGCGAGACGCGAATTGATGGCATTATCCACAGCGGAGCGAGAGTCAACTGGCTTGACTCCTATGGGAGTCTCCGACCGACTAATGTCGACAGTACCGTGGAGGTTCTTTCTGCTGTGGCGATGCGATCCAGGCCATGTGCTCTGACCTATGTTTCAGGCGGGTATCTTCCAGCAGCGGATGAATCGGAAAAAGACATCGCGAGGAAGCTTGAGCATGCCAGTGGATATGATCAGACCAAGATGTTGTCGAGGTTGTTGGTGGAGCAGTACAACGACAACGTCTACAGGCTTGAGGACCCATATCTTCCAACCGCGCAGACGATTCAACCTGGCTATATTGTTGGAACCAGGACCGAGGGTGTCGCTCATACGGAGGACTTTCTGTGGCGGCTTGCGTCCAGCATTCTCAGTCTTGGCGCGATCAGCGAGGATTTGACCGACGCGCACATTCCTGTAGCTGGTGTTGATCAGATTGCACGATTGGTAGTCGAGAACACAACTAGAAGGACACCCCAGTCTAAACGTGACGTCGACTGCTGGGATGGGCTCACGCTGGGTGAGCTATGTGCGATACTGCAGCGGGAGACGGGGATTACGGTGAAGACCATGCTACACGACGAGTGGATGCGCGCACTAAGCTCAGACGTCAGTTCTAGATCCGACCATCCATTTATTCCGGTGCTGCAGTGGTTTGAAGACAATCAGTGGCAGTTTGCGAGCAAAGTGGTGGATGATTCTCATGAGCCAGTCTTTGAGCGGGAGGAGATTGTGGAGGCCATTGTCAGAAGTGTATCATATTTGGTTGAGATAGGATTCCTGCCTTGCAAAGACAAGAGAGAGGAGCCAGAAGGGTGTGGAACAATGCCGATATTCGAGAGAAGTAACTAGATTAGAGACAGAGGAGGAGAGAGTCGAACAGAATAATGATTGTTGATAAGGCATGACCGAGTAAGAGTAAGTAGTAGATGTGGTAGATGTGATGGGCAGCCCCGCCCCGCGGTAGTCACGCCGCCTGTCGATCATGTGACATCTTTTGCTTCTTGCTTCTTGCTTCTTGCTGCTTTCTCCCTTATACTTACTGCTTTCTCAAATCCATCGGATGCATCACCCTCCCCTCTCCATCAATACGATTTGCGGGTTCTTGACATGGCATGATCTGCAGTCAAGGTAATTCCGTCATTTTCGGTCAACAGTAAGCAGATTTACTTGACTTGATTTGCCAATCGTTGAATTGATTCTGACGGTGCAATGCTGCAGGCCCACTCTAACCACTGCTTAAAGTATGCGCATCGGAGACATTCTCAATGCATGAAACGGCTTCCACCAACCATCCTTATCCTGTCCCCAAATCCAGTTGCCCTGCCTCGAAATTGCTGGATTGTACCAGTGATCTGATATGAGTAAAGCCGACTGGTGCCACTGGTGGAGCCCACCTTGGAAGATACTTTTGCCTCGGGCAAACTTTGCATCAGAGGCTTTCCAGGCACTCAACGCCATTGACGGATACGCGGCCAGGGCCCCACACTTTCTGGTCTGATTGCACAAATTGTGCTGCTGACAAACCTGCACAACCATGATGTGCCCTGATTTTAGCCACATTCGGGACGGAGACTTATACCGAAAGGGGAGGTGATCAAGGGGGCCCGCCCTGGATGAAGAATGTTCGGCAAGTTGGGTCTGCTCCACCAGCTCTTTGCATGCCGAATTTCGAGCGGTTGAACATCTCCACTCTGGATTTCAAATCATGTTTCCAACGGATTCTATCCAGGCCTTATAAAGGTCGCTGGTCGTCCGGTTAGGCCTTTATCAGTCTCAGTGTGGCATATTCCAAGACAATTCACACATCCTCACCATGTCTATCCCCGACGTTGATATTGCGCCCGCTCCGGGCATCTCCTACTTCACCCCCGCTCAGGATCCTCCCGCAGGTACGGCAGCCAATCCTCAGACTAGCGGCAAGCCGGTCCCCAAGCTCTATCAGCCTCTGACCATCCGCGGTCTTACTTTCCAAAACCGCCTCGGTGTAGGTTCTCTCTCTGTATGCACTTGATGATAATGAGCTGACTCTGCGGTTGCTAGCTTGCTCCCCTCTGCCAATACAGTGCCCAGGATGGCCACATGACCCCCTATCACATTGCCCACCTGGGTTCGATCGCCCAGCGGGGCCCCGGATTGATGATGATCGAGGCGACTGCCGTGCAGCCCGAGGGTCGCATCACCCCGCAGGACGTGGGTTTGTGGAAGGACTCGCAGATCGAGCCCATGCGCCAGGTTGTTGAGTTCGTGCACAGCCAGAACCAGAAGATCGGAGTGCAGTTGGCCCACGCCGGACGTAAGGCCAGCACCGTTGCTCCTTGGATCTCGGCCGCCGTAGTAGCCACCGAGAAGGTCGGCGGGTGGCCGGACAACGTCAAGGGACCCAGCGACATCGCCTTTGCCGACTCTTTCCCCCAGCCCAAGGCGATGACCAAGGACGACATCGTCCAGTTCAAGAACGACTGGGTTGCCGCCGTCAAGCGCGCGCTTGCGGTCGGGGTTGACTTCATCGAGATCCACAACGCCCACGGATACCTTCTCTCGTCTTTTCTGTCCCCCGCTGCCAACAACCGCACCGACGAGTACGGTGGCTCTTTCGAGAACCGCATCCGCCTCCCCTTGGAGATTGCCCAGCTGACCCGTGACACGGTCGGCCCGAACATGCCCATCTTCCTCCGCATCTCTGCTTCCGACTGGCTGGAGGAGGTCCTTCCCGAGCAGAGCTGGAACAACGACAGCACCATCCAGTTTGCCCAGGAGCTGGTCAAGCAGGGCGCCGTCGATCTGATCGACATCAGCTCCGGCGGTGTGCACGCTGCCCAAAAGGTGAAGTCCAGCCCCGGTTTCCAGGTTCCTTTCGCCGCTGCGGTCAAGAAGGCTGTTGGTGACAAGCTGCTTGTGTCGGCGGTTGGTGCCATCACCAACGGTCGTCAGGCCGAGGAGATCATGGAGAAGGACGGCATTGACGTGATCCTCGTTGGCCGTGGATTCCAGAAGGACCCCGGCTTGGCCTGGACCTTCGCCCAGCACCTGGATGTGGAGATCTCCATGGCCAGTCAGATCCGTTGGGGCTTCACGAGACGTGGCGGTACTCCGTACATCGACCCGTCGGTGTACAAGCCGTCGATTTTTGATATGTAATGTGTTATAGATTGTACATAGACGAGCGTTGAACATACAGTTGCTGTCGAGGATTAATATCAGAGATTCTGAACTCTCCTATTTTCGTCTAGTTATCACACAAGAACACTAGGTGTCACCAAAATCACAATTCCTAAGATTTTGTGCTGTTACTGACACAACGACCCTCGGCAACCGACAGCATACTCACATCCACAGATCTATTCTCTCTGCATTCCCATAAGCTAGTCTAAAACACAGCCATCTATAACTACCAATACGTCTGCAATGATAAACGAAATCCACCAACCAACCCAACTCAACCAAGTCTGGAGTACTGTACATACTTCCCGTCGTTCCACAAACACAAACGCCTAATCCTTCAAACCCGGCGTCTCCCCCACGCGGAACACATACTTGACCGCACTGGCCTTCCCATCCCGCAAATCCCGCATCGCGTCCTCGACCCCCAACAGCCCCTTCTCGCGGACCTCCCACGGATGGCCCTCGAACGTGCCCTCGGCCAGCGCCCTTCCAAACCACCGACAAAACACAAAGCACAGATCCCGTGCGTCCGCCGCGCCGCCCACCTCGTGCGCACTGCTCACCCACGTGTTGGTCTTCACGCCGGGCGAGACGTCGTACGGACAGGGCAGCACGTAGTTGACCTGGCCGCCGGGCGCGACCACATTGCGGATGACTTCGGAGCTGGTCTCGCTGACGATCGTGTCGAGGATGTGTTCTAGCTTCAGTTCCGCAGAGGAAGAGGATGCGGCAGCTAGAGCGGCCTTCACGCCTTCGATGGTCTTGGCTGCGCCGTCCCGGTAGTCGACGATCGCGTCGCCGTGCGCCGGGTCCAGGAAGCGGGAGATGTAGCTGGCGCCGCGGCCGGCGATGGCGATGATGGGGTGGATGTGGCTGAGGCGGGCGAGTTTGATGGCGAAGGCGCCGACGGCGGTGCTGCCGCCGTAGATCAGGAGGGGGGTGCGCTTGGTAGCTGGAGCTGGGGCTGGGGCTGGGGGCGTCCAGGGGAGCGGGAGGCGGTGGTGGTGGTAGAGCGAGACGATGGCGGTGAGCGCGGCGAGGGGGATTGTTGCTGCTTCTGTTGGTGTGTTAGTTTTGTGTGTGTGTTTGCCATCCATGGGTTTGGGTATGACCCAAGGAAGGGAGGGCAGAGTACACACCCTCGAAAGACACCTTGGCCGGGATGTGGAAGGTGGTGTGGCTCCAGGCGACGGCGTATTCGGCGTACGAGCCGCCGGGGGCCAGCATTTCGTGGAAGGCGCCCACGCGGTCTCCGGGCTATTTTGCTGGTTAGTTACGTTTCTGGCATATCATGATGGATGATAATGCTTGTGGAAGATGGAGATGGAGGGCACTCACCTTAAACTCAAACACATTCCCGCCCACCTTCTCGACCACGCCCGCGATGTCGTCGCCCTGGTTCACCCCGTCCTTGATGTGCGCGTATCGCTCCCCGAACGTCTCGTCGTCACTGCCCGCCAGCTCGGGCACCTTCCAGTCCTTCGGGTTGGACCCGGACACGACCACCCGGATGAGCACCTGGTCGTCGTTGATCTCCGGGATCGGGGAGTCGACCAGCTTGCAGCTGGGGCCGGGGAGGTTGATGATCTGCTTCATTGTAGGGGATGATATGCGGATATGGGCGAGTCGTTGAGTTGCTGGCAGCTATCACTGCCACACAATAAATAGTTACTCGCCCCCCCCCCTGCTTGGATTACCCCATTGTGGCCTCACTTTTCTCTCTCTCTCTCCAAAGAAGTAATTATTAAGCAGGGTGGAGACGGTGGATGCTTTGACGTCACCTGAAGAAGCTTATGTTGGGGTTGTGCAGTCCGGAAGGGTGGGAAATGTGCACCCGAGTTAGAGTTGAAGGATATGGGCCTGGATTGGGAAGGTAAGTTAGTGGACTCGACCATGGAGGGAGATGCAGTGCCTAGGCAGATCTTCAACGGATGTTGTTCAGCCGTGATCCGTCCTGTCGGGCAACGGCAATTGTTGAAGAAAGTGGAGCCTCCCCGAGACGGGGCATACTCGAGTAGTAACTACTACCAAGGATCGACCGTTTTGAAAGCTTCTTGTTTCATATTTACATGTATTCGCCGCACCTCTAGCCTCTAGTCTATAGACTTTCTAGATCTACATCTACCCTCTACCCACCCAATAACCATAATGAAATGTCCCGGTCAAATTATAGCTTGCTCTTGGGCGGGCTGTTTTTCAGGACAGCCGAGTTCCAAGGATAGGGGTCGAACACCAGATCGTTGACTGGGTTCTGGCTGGCCCGGCGGAACAGATCAGGGTAGACGTCGCCATCATACTTGCCCAGACTGCTGTCCAGCTGCCAGTCCGGAATCTTCCAGGCATCCACCAGCCGCACCGCGTGGGGCCGGATTTCATCCAAAAGCTTCATCACCGCGTTCTCCCGTGCCAAGCCAATCTGGCGGACCGTAACAGCGCTCGACGAGAAGAACTCGGAAGCTTCACGCTCCAAGGTGTGCAGAGCGTACAGACGGAACAGCTTCTGCAGGACCTCGGTCGTCGCTCCGTCCACGGCCGACGCCACCTCCTTCGAGTTGACGGCCTCGTAGAAGTTCTTGACAGCCAGGTACTGGGAGTGAGCAGTCGACAAGCGCCAGAAGTCGACCAGAAGACTGTTCCACGAGCGCTTCTCGACGTCCCGGTGCTTGAGCGCCTCAAAGGTCATGTGAGCCGTGCGCCAAGCAAAGGCAGCCACAATGTCAGCATCGTTACCGAGGATGTCAAACGAAGCGCCCTTGTCACGACGGCTGAGGTAGGTCTGCAAGATCTGGGAGGTGTCGTTGCCGGTTCCCTTGCCAGCAAGAACAGCGCGAGCAGATTTCAAAAGCTAAATCAG